TTTACCACTTTCTACCAGATTGTACAATTTTTACCATTTTACCATTACACCATTTTCTACAACCTTTAATAACCTAAAATTTAATACATTTATGTATTAAATTTTACCACTTGGTTTGATTTTTACCATTACAGATCTGTACCTATAGGTACAGATCTGTGGTTACATAGCTCTACAATTAAATTCATGATTAATGAAGCAATGTGGTTTCAATTAAAAGTCTGGTGGATTAAAAATAACCCTTCAATTCATTAAATCTATTTAATTTTTGTAGCCGGTGCGCTAAGTAAGACATTCACTGTGTTATCAATCACTTGCTCAAAGTACTGCACCTTTGTCTCCTTGTTCAAGCAAAACATCCTGCTGCTACCCAACCCCGCCCATATTCGAATTGGTTTCACTCCCTTCAACCTTCTTCTCACACATTTCGCTTCGATCCCATCTTGTCCCACCAACGAAGCACCCCAAATCCGCTTCAATTCCGTACTAACCTCAATCAACCCGTGTGCCAGGGGCAAAGTGAGATTTACAATTAGCGCCACCACAAATGATAGCGAAACAAAAAAGGCGTACACCGGGAACGGCAGGGAATCGTATAATTTGATCGTGACAAAATTCGCAACGAGGAAAACCACGAGTCCGATCAACATCAAGAACAACGTGCCTAATTCTTGAAACGTTGCAAATTCCCGCAATGCCAACTGCGCCTCGAGATGGGTTTTTATCCAAACATTGATTTTTTTCGGCGTGGTTGCGAAGGGTCGTTCCGATTCTTGCAGAAGTGCCGCGTACACAGAGCGCAACATTGCGAGGAGCAGGAGCACAATTAGGGACAGCGTGGCTAAAATTTCGAACCCGTTAATCCACAAGTAGACGAATTGTATCGTGTAAATTACGAATAGCGTTAGTGAATGGAACTGAAATTTTTCATTCAATTCGCGTAAGGGGAAAGAGAAGGGATCTAGTTCCAGAAAGAACTGGATCAGAAGATAGACAAATCTGTACGTTGCAAAACTTCGGACAAGAACGACCAGTACGTTGGAGAGTAGTTTGGTATCATCTTGCTTTTTATCGACGTTTAAGGTTTTTGAGGTGCCTGGGCTGCCTAAAAGTGTACATTGTCGCATTTTATGTATCCATACCATTATGTCCTTTAATTAGTTTGATCTATTTACCAGGGTTATTCCAACGTGCCACATTGCCCCACACTTTTCCAATCTCGTTCCACCCGTTCACAGCGTCATTCCCATAGAACGTGATCATGACGTGGTTTACAGTCGCAAAGACGGTGATGACCCCCTCAAATGCCAAAATCAACGCTTTGGATAGATCCGTGTATGGTTTATTTGTCGCAAAATATCGAAATATTTGAATGAAATCGTACAAAAACGCGACATGTGTCAAAGTATCGATGGTCAGGAGCATGTTAAAGTGCCAAATTTTAACTTTAAAGTTTCCACTCGGATATTTATAGAGAAGATTTTCCTTCCGTGGATCCCATTGGATTGGACATTCGGAGAAAAATCGAAATTTTACGGCATATTCGCCAAAACTTGAGGTAACATATGGCGGTGCCATTGTTCCACATCGGTGAAATAAGTTCAATACCTTTGAAGAAATATGAAGAACTAACAGATAAATGTTAACAAACTGCGTTGTAGTATTTTATAGAGACATTTATAATTTTGAAAATTGATTAACTAATTTTCTATGTCCGGCCAACCTTGATGGTTTTAAATATTTAACATCTTTTTTTGCAAATTTATTTGCCTACGTCACTTTGTGCGTCTACATACGAATTACAATTTTATTCGACATTGAGTATAATGTATGTAGGTATATCATAGGAAATCGATTTAAATATAAAATATCAAGGGCATCTATTCCTGGAAATCGTGCCAAGCACAACACAACGTTTCAATTTCATGCTTATTCTTTAGTTGAATAAGATTAAGAACGCCAGCAAGAAAATTTCTAATCTTATTTGACGACCTTTTGAGAATAACAAGATAATAATCCTCTAAAATATTGCCAATAGTCTTAACATTAAATGCGAGCATGTTCAATATTGAATTTTATCCCCATTTTTAGAATGGACGAATTTAATCTAATCAGAAAGAATATTTGGTATTTAAAGAAGACGGTAGATATTTAATAAATTATTTCGGCAAACAAATACACGCTTACAAAGATAGGTGACTTGATGCGTGGCGAATAAAAAAAAAACAACAAATTTATTATTTTTTGAGCATGTCAAGAATTGGATGACACGTGGATAATTTACGTCTAGAATAATATTAATAATTGTGGTGTTTGCATTTGTCACAGTGGGCCTATCATTATTATTTATCAAAATTATTTATAAATAAAAGTACTTCTTCGATTCGATGCATACATACATACATAGGTCTTGTGAGCGATGTTAAAAATGCTGCATTTCAAAAATCCAATCATTCAATCCGTACTAAATATGTACAGTGTGTGATAATAACTGGATAATTTTCTTGCATAAAGAATATAAGAGTCTCATGTTTATTTCGCTAAATCACGAAATATTTCAATCATTTACACACGATCTGCAACCCGTTTCAAATTAGCTTCTACCTGAATGCAGCTTAACCTCGCATTTGGCTCATGACACAACAACTGATTAATTATTACTGCAAAATTTTGACAATTGCTTCTCACATTATTTTCAATAAGGCTTAATCTTTTTTCGGCATCCAGCTCTCCTCTTACCGAATTCAAGAAAGATGGCCTTATATTCGCATCTAAGCTCCAATTAGACTGCGCCATTTCCATAAAAATCAATCCCAAGCTGAACATGTCCGCTTTTGTGGAGTAACTCCGTCCCGCTCGCATTTCCGGGCAAGCGTAAATCATTGTCCCCACAATTCCCGAGGTTCTTACACTCGTCCACTCATCCACCATTTGTATGGTTAAGCCAAAATCCCCAATTTTCCAGACGTTGCGTCCCCTACGTGAATCTACCTTGCATAAAATGTTGCTGGGTTTCAAATCCCGGTGGATGTAACCCTTGGCATGAATGTAGCCTACCGGCCACTATATCCGGCTACTATATCTGTGGCTATGGCGGCAAATTCAAATCCGTCAGTGGACATTTTGCCCTCTTCCAACGAATCTTGCAAGGTAAAGGAACACAGCTCCATTTTGATGAATATGTAACCTGACGGACAATTTGATACGGACTGAGTTGAAGACATCAACTCTCTGTTGTCATTAACGAGTCGGTCGAGTCCAGACTTGTTTAAGAAGGGTTGGCTACATTCTTCCATTTCTGCCCAACAGTCGTAAAGTCGCACCACGTTTTCGCACGTTAGTTCGCGCAAAATTCGAATTTCGCTCGTTAAATGGGACGAAGTCTGAGGACTGCTGGATTCATCTTCGTTATTAAATTGCCCCAGTGCGAATCGAATATTGCAACATTTTACGGCATTTTACGGCATCATTTTACGGCTACAAAATCAAATCAGTTTACAAAATCAAATCCAATGACAAGAATACTAATATATAGTCGAATATCCGTATTTTGTTCTGTTCTGGGTACACGTTCAGGATTTATCTGAAGGTTCATGTTGATTTCTTATTTAAGCAACTATTTATTAGCTGACGTAATATCTTCATGACAGCAGTAGTAAAACTAAAATGATGCTCATGACAGCAGTAGTAAAACTAAAATGATGCTCATGACAGCAGTAGTAAAACTAAAATGATGCTGGTGTTGTGAATTGATTTCTAAATACTGGAATGCTTAAAATTTATTTGATTCATTTGTGCATACACAATCATACACATGCATACACAATTACATTTGTGCATACATAAATAATCGCTTGTTCCGTCTTCTCTGTTGTGAATATTGCACACCTGTGAACAGATAGACGAAAACCTTTTGAACCAAATAAATTTTAAGCATTCTAATATTTAGTAATTTATCATCGTAATTATCGTAATAATTTAGTAATTTAGTCGTTTTTTATTCATTAATTATTTACTTTAACGACTTTTTTAGACTTTAAAGTGTGTCATCAGGGACAAATTTTCATAAACGTTGTAAGCCAACTATAATCAGAAAAATTTCAAAGTTGGACTATGGGAGGAATCAGAAATGTGCTTAATACGGTGTTTGTGCATATGATACAGCCGTATAATCCTGAGAATTGAGAAATTAGCTTTCAATTAAGGAACTTACAGTATAATGATTTGCGCATGTCATCTCATTTGCATATTCTAACGCATTAGTGAGAGACTTTGAGTTTATTCAAGATGGACAGCCTGTATCGCTGAAAATGGACATAGTGAAATTTATGCAAATGAAGTGACATACACAAATAATTCCACTCAATTCCACTGTATTTACATACGTACATATGTATGTATGTGCACCAAGCATGTTCTAGATTTTCGAGAAATTATGCTTGACTAAAGTTGCTGAATTTTCGATTTTAAAATATTATAAAAGCATACATATTATGTAATCAACAAAATAAATTTTTAACATGACGTGCAAAACAATAAAATTGTGTAATCTACATAAATAAAATACGGAAAGACAGGTACTGCAAAAAAATGAGAGACAGATGCTTGACTTTAACAGGAGAAATAAAAATATCTGTAAAACATAAATTATATACGTGTGTATTTCCGTATTCCGTGTTGATGTTATAACATTCGAATCCAAGTGAAGATTCATGCAAAGGATAACTCAATAAATATTAACCATTTCTCTGTTTGAGTAAGATACATATATTTATATGCACACGTCTATTTTTCATAGGAAATCCGGGATTTGTATAAAATAAATGATTCACTTGTTTATCTTACTTACACTTTTTTGGAGTGGGATTATTTGATGGAATATTTATTATAAATGAGGAGGAAAATAATGTAGATATTGTACAACCAACTCATGCATATTTATCAGCATAAAAAAGTCAACAGTAAATCATACAGATATGTAATCCGACGGGATGACTTATACTGGGAATAAATCTTTCCGATTTTATACTGGCCGTCTGTCCATTCCGTTAGTTCAACTGGTCGCATGCAGTGACTAAAGTTTTAAAAACAAAAAAATCCAAATGGGGATCCCTGATGAAGATTACTTTAGTTATGAACCCATTCTTCGAACAGGTTTGAAGAAACACGGTTCCCCCAGAAAGTGTAAAACATGTACATTTGTATCAATTGTTGGACTTGTTTTGGTCCTTGTTTTGGGAGCCGGGTTTTATCTGTATCTTATGAGAGACAAATTTGTTGTTGAGGAAGGTATATAAATATTTTCTTAATATAAATTTGTCTTAATTAGTAAGGTTTATTAAGTGCGTACATATGTGTATATAGGCCCAAGCGGACAGCCATACCCGGAAGAGATGGGATCCCACTTTGAAGGTGATATAGTCGTCCTGAATGGTAGTAATTGGAGGCAAAGTAGTGGTCTTATGGATTCAGCGTATCGATGGCCGGATTCTACCATAATTTACGAATTTGATCCTAAATTTGGTATTAGTCTTTTTTTAAGTTTAGTTTTATTAATATATAAATTATTTTCTAATTTAACTTTTGATTATTGCAAATAGATTCCAATTTTAAGGAGAACTTTACCCGAGCTATGGCTCACATTATGGGTCGTACCTGTATCCGTTTTAAACCCCTAGACAAAGAAGACAATTATATTTACGTCACTGATCGTGGAGATTGTAGTTCCGCCGTCGGGATGCGATCAATGGGTAGACAAGAATTATCTCTGGGCAAATATTGTAACTGTTTTGGAACAATGGTGCACGAAATTGTGCATGCGCTGGGATTTTTCCATGAACAAAGTAGAACCGATAGGGACGATTATGTCACTATTTTCTGGGACAATATCAAACCTGGTGTGATACTTTGTAAAAATAATAAACATTAATTTCCGGGAATTTCTAATTAATTATTTATTTTCCGGTAACAGGGGAACAAAACAATTTTGAAAAGAAAGGAAAAGATATCGTGGATCCGTTTTTCGTTCCATATGACGCATACAGTATCATGCATTATGGTGCATACGCATTTAGTAAAAATGGTAACGCTACAATACTTAGTAACAATCCGGAAGTGGAAATTGGAAACAGGAAAGAGCTCAGTTTTGGTGATATCAATAAAATAAACAATATGTATTGTGATAAAGTTGGTGCCGTTAAGATTCTAAGTGGAGATCAGAACAGGGTAAAATCATAAAATTATTATCATCATTTTATAAGTATTTATAATTATTATTTTTTTAATTCTCGAAGTATCTCACTTTATGGGAAGGGTTATCTAAGCATGGTGACATTATAAATACGGACGTCGACATTTACGTAGAATACCAAAAGTGGACGGTTGACTGGGGTAGGTTTAATATATTTTTTAAAATTTATATATATTTACATATATTTTACGGATCAATGAACATACATATTTTTATAGATGGCCTACTTGATGAGGATGGTGACGGTGGTATGATTTGGAGTTGGACACAAGATGGAACGGAATTAATGGTTGTAACGGAGAGTCATATGAATGATGGAAGAGTACATATCTGGGTAGGTTAATTTGTTATTAGTGGATAATATGATTATTATTATTAGCTTGCGGCTACATGTACATATGTCGACGTATGTACATAGGTATGTACAGAGAGTCCAGCACGTTGCTGAAAACGTATTCGACCTTAAATAACCCCGGAACGGTTTGTCGTAGCGGGTCAAAATTTTGAACAGAGGAGCATGTTAACCTCAGGGTGGTGTGTGCAAAAATTCAACTCTCTACTTTCAAAAATGCCTCCCCCACAGCCCCCAGAAGTCGAGAGAGTCATAAAAACTCTTTCCAAACTAAAGTCCTCGTACAGCCGAATAACAAAATATCTTAAAAGTGAAGAGAAAACGTTTTCGAAATCTAGAATCAATAAGGTATTGAAAAATATAGGTGAAAAGCGAAAAATTTTGCGTGGAGTGCAACCACCACCAGAAGAAGGCAAACAAAATGCTAATTCCGACCGTGCTTAGGAAAAGTAACCTCTTGACCTCGAAAGACACTCCACCGACCCAAAGGGAAATTTTCCGTAAGGTTGTGGTGTCTAAGCGTTGAGTGAAAAGAGAAATTAAGATTTTGAAAAAACGACTTGGTCGGAAAAGTCGTGTGCATCAGCTGACCGAAAAGCAGGAAAAAAATCGCGCCCGTATTTACAAAAAAAATTATTCGAATTTTCTGTGAAGGAATCAGAGTGAGTTATTAGTGACATTTGACGAAGCACTAATTTCTCTACAAGTTACTAATTAGGTTCGAAGAGCTTACTACACGACAAATGCCGGAAACAATTCACGCAAGTTAGTGCTTCCGCGTGAGGAGAACTTTTGTAAACAGCTTGTGGTCGTGGGTGCAATGTTGGGTCGTGGTGTCCTCCCACTTATCAAAGTCCCGCAAAAAGTGAAGATATCTACGAAGTATTATGTGGACCGTGTATTACAACCACTTTTAGAATAACATTTTCCTCAATTATACGGTAAAAAAATAAATAAGGTGATTTTTCATCGTGACGCGGTGTCTTTCCAGACGCAAAGTTCACCTAAGGTTATGCAAAGGACCTTGAAGCTAGATTTGAGACAAAAATTATTTTGAATAGTGAAATACTTGTACAATCCGCCGATGTAAATCAAATGGACTTCTTGGAGTTTGGATACTTACAAGAAAATTTTTTCTGCGGTGACCGAATTTTTTAGACGGAGTTTGGAAAGAGTTGAAATGTCTGTTTCAACTTCTGGGGGCTGTGGGGGAGGCATTTTTGAAAGTAGAGAGTTGAATTTTTGCACACACCACCCTGAGGTTAACATGCTCCTCTGTTCAAAATTTTGACCCGCTGCGACAAACCGTTCCGGGGTTATTTAAGGTCGAATACGTTTTCAGCAACGTGCTGGACTCTCTGTATACTACATGAATGTCCATGAATTTACATGTACATATGTCCAAGTATGTATGTATGTACATGTATGTACATGTATTTCCATTTCTCCATGCATTTACATGTATGTCCATGTATGTACATATGTACATGTATTTCCATGCATTTACATGTTTGTCCATGTATGTATGTACATATGTATATGTCCATGCATTTACATGTATGTAGATGTATGTACAATAATGTACATGTGTAAATACATCCATTTAGCCGGAATATGACGATCGTTCTCAAAAATGGAGAGCTGTACGAAATGATGGTGACACTATTCGGTTTATGATCAAAAATCTGCAAAGTGGACGTTGCTTGACAGCGAATGGGTAAGGTATAAATATATTTATGTAAACCCCTTAAATTAAATCACGACATATTTAAATATTGAGACTATTTAGCCTGGATGCAGTCACTTTGGAGGAATGTAATCCTGCAAATTTAAGGCAAAACTGGTATATTCTTGGACTACTGACCAAACCACCGGAACCTCCTCGACGGGACGATAGAAGCCCTTGTGGAAAGAGTGTCACTGCCCCGTACGAATTTCCCATCGGCTACAATTGCTCCATGGGGAATTATATGCTAACCTTTCAAAGGGATGGCAATTTAGTTATTTATGATGAGTCGGGAGGAGTTAAATGGCATACGGGGTCAGCTACCGGACTTAAAAATCCAAACCAATTTAAATTACGGGGTCGTTCCCTCAAATTTGGTAGCGATGGAAATCTAGTTCTCTATAATGCAGCTAAGGGACAAATTTGGAGTTCAGACACTGCTAATAAAGGCCATCACATTAAATTTGGGGAAGATGGAAAATTAGTAATTTTTGATAAAAATAATAACACTGTTTCGCAGTTTGGCCGAAAAGAAGCGGCGGAGAGTTAGATATATTAGGACAATTTTCTAGCGCTTTTGTTTGCAAATTTGTTACCCATCGTGCTCGGATGTATGTAATTTGTTTTTATGTATAGCGGCATTATTAATAATAACATTCGTCAAAAATAAAAATGAATCAGGTCCTGTGATAATAACGTAGTAAAAGTCATCATTAATTTTAATACCTCCTTTTTCTTCTGTCCTTTCCTTTGGAAATTCAGTGAAACAATGAATAATATTTGCGTTGGATGACTCGAGTTAGGACAGGTTTTCAGGCATACTATATATAACAAAAACAGTATACATAATCTACTGTTTTTGGGCACGTAAAGAGATGAGTAATCTATTTTTCGAAATCGAAACGTAAATCTCATGAGATATTTGCACATCTGTCAAAAGTGTGTGCACTTTCTGGTACACTCTTAGAAATAATTTTACTTTTTTGAAAAGTAAGTGCACTTTTTACTCCATATGAAGCAAAGTTTACTAAATCCAGAGTAACGCTTACTTGATACAGAGTAAATCTTACTTCATATGGAGTAAAAAGTGCACTTACTTTTCAAAAAAGTAAAATTTTTTCTAAGAGTGTACTTACACGTATTTATGTACAAGTACCTACAAATTTTGGGAAATACGTTTGAGTGTCTGCTCCTGCAGAATTGTTACCAGCTGCATGTGATTTTCCATCTATGCACGTATTATTATACAATTTTGAACAATAATTGGTGTCTGAGTGCATGCAACGATTATCTAAGATGTCCAAAATTTGTTTAACATGGATAATGCCTCATTTAACTTTTAAGAGTGGTAAGTAAATGGAATACTCATATCATAACTCATCTTCAGTCAGACCTTCTCATTATAAAAATGCCCAAACTCAATTTTGTACAAATGAAAATTTCTCATCAGAATCATCCAGTAGCGTGAACTCTATCGAGAAAAATCTGGTACTGCTGATATCACACAGATATGTAAATATGTACATACATATTTAAACACATGTACCAACTTATGTAAGAGGCCTTTGCATAAAGCATGTCATCGATTTTTGGAGAATTTTGACCTCTCGTGTGATGCGTGCTCCATTTTATAATTAAAATAGGAAGGAGAGGACCCTTAGCACTTACCTTAGCTTCCCCCTAAATCGACCACATGCTTTGTGCATAGTCCCATTAAAAAGAAAATTAACTCATGAGCACAAATACATTTTTATATACTTCTGACATGAAACAATGAGTCACCCAAAATGTTTTCTCGACCATATATAAAGCAATGCCATTTCGTTTGGAAGATATAGTAAATTCACAGATACATACACAAACGTGCATCATTTCCTGAAGCATCGTGTCGAAAGGGTAAGAACAAGAATCACATATTTATACATATAAGAGTGTTAGAAACCGTCCATAAATTATGTCACGCGGGGGGATCGAGATTAGAAGTTCGCGATTTTTGTGTGAAATAATTCATGGATCTCCCCTTACTACAAGAAGTCATTGGTACCTTTCAAGATCTCCAAGTTTCGTAAAATAACTTTACAAAATTTTACAAAATATAAAGAAATCCTTGATCTGAGCCAGTTTACAAAAATTTGTTCAACAATTTTCCTTCGAAATATTTAAAAAATTTTGCAGACATCTGTAAGCTTACAAACAATATTTACGGATTTCATTTACACTATTGCCAAGGACTGCGTGCATTGCCTCAATGTTTGCATGAATTTCAGCGTAAAATACATTTCAAATTTTACTAATTAAGATTTTTTTTTAATTTTCAGGAAAAAATGTCTCACTTGAGTGAAAGAGAAGTCTTAGCGAAGACCATTTACGCCGAGGCTAGAGGTGAGTCCGATGAGGGACAGAGGGCCGTGGGTCACGTGGTCAAAAACCGAGCCGCAAAAAACCGCGACTACTGGGGCGGCAGTAGCATAAAAGAGGGTGCCTCAAGGCCCAACAATTTGCATGTTGGAACGGAAAGAGTGACATTGACATCCACGAGCCCCACGCGTATCAAAAAGCGCAGCGAATTGCGGATGAGGTTTTATCATCAAGGGATCCTCAAAATGACCCCACGCGAGGATCCACGCATTTCAACAATCCAGACAAAGAGGACCCAGAGTGGGCGAGAAAGATTCCGAAAACTGTTAAGATTGGGAATCATCAGTTTTATGAGTAAATTTGATCAATGCACTTATTGATCATCACAGTCAAAGTGTTATAATACGAAAATTATTTACTAAAAGTTGTACGCAAAATTCCTATTGGATTGGAAATAAAAATGTTTAAGGTGTCACTGCTTGGCAAATACATAATACTGTGTAATTAATTCTTAATTAAATTTATAATAACCCCAGTCAACGGTTTAATTTACTTACCTCATATGCTTATTTTCAAATTAGTACATCGTTCTTCTACATCGTATCATATCGATATCACGGGTTTAGTTAGGGTTGCCGATCCTATCCTATCCGATCGGATAATCCGAGATTATCCGACACTTGTTATAACATGTATCCTATCCTAACATGTGGCTCGGATAGGATAATTATCCTATCCGAGCCTCGGATAGGATCCATGTTATAACAAGTGTCGGATATCCGTCATCCTATCCTATCTGATCGGATAGGATAATGTCGGATAAAAATAGTGTTTCTCACGGGTTCGGGTTCTGACTTCGGGTTTCGGGTTCGGATCGGGTTCGGGTCCTGCTTCGGATACGAAATTTTAGAACCCGAAACTTTCGGGTTCGGGTTGGGGTCCGAAAAATCTGATCCCAAAATTTCGGGTTCGGGTCGGGTTCGGGTTCCGACTAACAACCCGAAACCCGAATCAACAAGAATTTTTTGCCACAACGAACACGAAACAGTTAAAAACGAAAATTAAAGTGTTAACCACAGTTGCTAAGACGGTTATGCTGCCGTGATTCAGTAAATAATTCAAATTTTTAATTGTCGTAACTTCTTTTCCAGGATGATTTGAAACAATTTACACTAGGGGTGAGGCCGTAACTGGGTCAACGAAAGAATTTTTAACTATTTTTTAATTGCTGGCTAATTTCTAGAATTGAGTGTGTTTAGCCCGAGTCATAGTTACCCAAAGTTGTGTTGCATATTTAAGGAGGACGCACCCTTCTTATGAGAACATCCCCCCCCGTGATATTTGCCCCAAATTTTGATATGTTGTACACCTCGAGGTGCTGATCAAAAAATGTATTGGTCCCTAAGCCCTAAGTGACCTGGTTCGACCGCAAACCGAGGTCAAAGGTCAGTGCACTTTTTCGCTCGAAACCACACAGCTACAAACCGTATGTTTTCGGAAAGCTACGGACCTCACGAGTTCGAATATACACCATAATAATGTCAAAGGTCAACCCTTGACCTTCCGAGGTCAAGTATGTTCTTGGGGAAAGGTGAGATTTTTGATTTGTTACATTTCTGATTAGAACAAAACACGATCGCCGGTCCCTTCGACGCCCGCATAGCCCACTGCCTGCCACCTCCGGAGAAATATTACTTTTTCCGGTTAGTAGCGCTTCAATTGTTGCCGATCTGTGGCTACGTAGAGTATAAATCTTATTCTGACTTCACCATTGCCGGAGTCGAATACACGCAACAACAGTGGTGATAAATTATTACCAGCCTGGTACACTGACAATTAGGTAAAATAATTTCATCGTCAATAATCAAACCCATCCCCAAGTAATCCAAACATCCTGTCAAACTTTATTTTATTGCAAAACGCAATCATAACTTAATGTTACATGGATCCATTCTCAACACGAACGGAGGAGGAGAACCTCACTAGTTGCCACTCACAGATCTATTGATGCCGTGGCCACATTTGCGCCCGCCACCCACTTAAACGCGCCAAAAACACGAAAATCCATCTTCAGACGCTCGCCAAAAATTCAAATTTGGCCGCAATTTCAAAATTTTGCACCATTATACTCCGAGATACATATGTGTTTTATAATATCCGACGCCAAATTTAATTTTGTTTTATTTTTTGAGTATTTTCGAAAATTTCCTGACCGTCGTACGTCTTCGCAAAAATTATAATTTCAAATAAGTTGAGTTTGACAATGGAGATGATAATGCAACTATGTATCTAGGAGTATAATGATTCAATATTTTCAAAATCCTGTAGAAATTTGATTTTTGGCTAGGGTTTTATTGAGTGAAAACAGGGCTTTGTTCGTGTTTTTAGCGCCTTTAAGTGGGTGTGGCGAGCGCAAATGTGGCTATTCCATCAAACCACTTGGGGTTTTTTGATCACTCAATGGATGCTCCAACATATCCAAAGGGCATCGAGATCTGTGGGTAGCAACTAGTAAGGTTCACCTCCTGAGAGCATTACACATATAGCAAAGCGGATAGAAATTTATCCGCTTTGCGTTCATTAGGTACATACAGCAATCGGGAATATATGTAAAATAAAAATGATTTGACTTAATCCAAGGAAATGTGCTGTTCCTACTTTTCCAAGGCTTATTAATATTTCAGCATTACATGTACACTATTCCTTAGCAACGACAAAAAATTTTATTTTGTTAATCTAGCGCGGGCGGATGTTTTCACAAAACATTTCAGTCAAAATCTAGATTTTTCTAAACCCTGTAATGTTTCGAATTTTGACCCAATTTCAAAAATTGTGCTTATAAACACAATTTTTCTAAGAACCACTTCCCTGAAATTATAAAAATTCGTTTTTAAACATTTTAAAAATGTCATGATTTAATTCTATTTCTTAAAAAAGATGCAAAAACGATAATTTTAAAGCCTTCTTTGCAGTTTGTGTCCTTCACAAAAAGTCTGCAAACACATATATAAATGACTGGATTTCCCGTACTATGCAGACACGTGAAAGGATGAGTAACCCATTTTTGCGTGACTAAACTTCTAATGTTTGCAATGAAGTCATTTCGCTGGACCAATTTCATGAGAATTTTGCACCTCTGGTAAAAATTTGCGCACTTTCTGGAACTTATACACACATAGATATGTATGTACAGGGATATACACATTTTTGGAAAGACGTTTCAGTTCCTGCTTCTGCATTGCTTCTGCAGAATTGTTCCAAGACGAGTTTACAGGATCATATCATAATGGATGTTTCAGTGCATGCAATGGTTACCTAAGATGTCCAAAGTTGTTTGACATGATATGTACATGAAGACTTCGTTACGATGTAGACTTAATTGGTGATGATGACTCATTTGATTGTAGTAAATACGCGGAATAGTTCCTTGGCAACTCTTTCCCAGTCATACATACGTTCTTACTTGGTCTCATCATAGAAATACCAAAACAAATTTACAGATATAAATTTCTCATGAGCTTCATCCAGTAACGTGAACTCCGTTGAGAGAAACCTCATCCTTCAGATGTATACACGACGTGTATTACACGTATGTACAGTTGGGTGGGCTATAACCTTTCTGCTCAAAAAGTCCTGTTTTGATAGGAATCGAGCGTGCACGCGCTCTTCCCAACTTTTGCACGAAATTTTAAACTTTGCCCTAGCGATGCGAAATTTGGCATGCACATGCACCAACATATGCTACATCATAATATAACATCAATTCCCGTTCCGTTCGCTATAAATTTTTCAGGAAAAATCAAAAACCAAATGTCACCCGTATTCAATTTGGTTTTTGATTTTTCCTGAAAAATTTATAGCGAACGGAACGGGAATTGATGTTATATTATGATGTAGCATATGTTGGTGCATATGCATGCCAAATTTCGCATCTCTAGGACAAAGTTTAAAATTTCTCATGACTCCGTGCAAAAGTAGGCGAGAGTGCGTGCACGCTCGATTCCTATCAAAACAGGACTTTTTGGGCAGAAAGGTTATAGCCCATACAACTGTACATACATATTTAAATACATGCACAAACTTATGCAACACGCCGTGCATAAAGCATGGCACCGATTTTCGGAGAATTTTGGCCCATTATGTTACGTATTTATATTCTCCGTTTTATCATTAAAATTGGAAGAATATGATGCCTCACCACATCCCTTCTCTCCAAGTCGATCACATGCTTTACGCACAGTCCCTAACACGGAAAATCAACTTATGAGCATATACATATAGTTCATTTTTACGTATCTACCTATGACATTGAAACAATGCTTCACCCAGAACGTTTTCTCCAACTTATATAAAGGACGCTCATTTTGTTTGGAAGATGGTTAGTTTGCAGAATTACATAGACGGGTCACTTCCTCAAGCATCGTGTCGAAACGGTAAGAACAAGAATCATATATGTATAACGCAAGTCTGGCTTGAAAAATGCAGATTTCTCTAAAATAGAAATTATTTCTTCATCTGTGCAAGCTTGCGATTAAGGTCTTGGTCAGAATCGTCCGTGGTAACACTATGCCATTTTTATACAACTTCGTCACAGGTTTGCGTGGGATGGGTTGTATGTAAAAAATTTGAATCTGGTGCATTAATTAGCAAAACTACTCAAGAAATTTATAAAATAATTAAAGCTATTGGTCCCATACCTCATGTGGTTGTGGACCAGCACAGCAACACATAATCCATACTGGATTTTTTAATTTAGATCAAGGGTCCTGACTAACCTTGTGCATGCATATGGGATATCTTAATTTTTAATAGCAGGGTAGACCTGAATCTAGACGAGGAGATCATTTGGATAATTTATGAGTTTGACGGAAAGTGTATATAGCCCTTTATTTATTTGCGACACTGGTTTTACCGTATATTTTGTTTCTTCAATAATCTCCTGGACCTTCATAAATTACCAGAAATAGTTAGTGCACTAACCAACATATTTGTCCAGCTTCTGCCAAAAACCGAATCTAATTTCTCTCACTAGTTTTCACATAAACGTTGATCTTAGTAAAAATGAGCATGTCCTGGTAAAACCATAATTACACGAGGCTGGTGTGGTTTAGGCTAGGGTTGCCGCGGGTAGCGAAAATGCTACCCGTTACCCGACCCGCTACCCGCAGCACAACTACCCGTACCCGCACGGGTACCCGTTACCCGCTACCCGTAATGAAAATTGACTTAAAACCTAACCAGCCTTAAGAATAAATTCCATTTAATTAATTGGCTCAATTGGGTTGATATGTAATTTCAGATAATGCTACGCAAGTAACGAATGCCGTAAATTGCTATGGGAATATCCGCAGTTGTTCTGAAACCAAACTTTTTGACTTGCAATGGAACGTTTTTCAAACTACATCGGGATTTCTTAACGAATGATATCAAAAAATCAAGTTAAAAATTAGGAATTATCACTAATCTTTCCCTTGAATAGCCCGTAGGAAACTATTTGGATCAGAGTTCAAAGTTTACCATGATTTTCGTCCAGTGGAGGAATAAGATGCTGAACATTTACTTAAAAATCGAACTTTGCCTCCAATATTTTTCTTTAAAGTGGACATTCAACGGAAAGTATCATGTGATTCCTAATTTTTGGCTTGACTTTTTAATATACTCTCTAGATAATCTTGGTGTAGCTTGAAGAAAGGTTCAACTTTTAGTTTGATTTTTTTTTGGAATTTTGATTTAAATTTAAGTTTTCATTTTAAAAATATCTACAAATAAAATTTTAGCCTTCAATCGGATTCAGGTTTTTCATCTTCAACGAACAAATTAAAATCTCGTAAGTCTTACACAAATAAATAAATACAAAATAAATACAAATAAATACATAAATAAATACAAGTCAAATTGTTACTCAGATTTTAGAGCAGGCAAATTTTACTTGAGAAACAATAATTTCATTTTAGGGACGTGAAAAGCATATCAGGCTGCCATAGGCTTCCGTGGCTTCCGAAAAGACACGCACGCTATAAACCCTAGTTGCTGGAAAATAGCAAATTTTGAAATAGATAAATAATAAATTGACGCTTTTGTTGATAAATGGACTAACTTGCTGCTAGCTTTCTTTGTGAACTGATATATGTCGAGAATTAAATAAAAACAGAACTACCCGTTACCCGTGCGGGTAGTTCTCGCTACCCGCAGAAAACGGGTACCCGCAAGAATCGTGCGGGTATGCGGGTAACGGGTACCCGACCCGTTACCCGCGGCAACCCTAGTTTAGGCCCAACAACTTTATCTTATAAATTTCACGAATGGTTTTGTCGGTTAATAAACCAGACTAAAAAATTTTGCATGCAACCCATCCTATGCAAACCTGGGGCAAAGTTGCACAAAAGTGACCTCTTGTTACCACGGAGGATTCTGAACCAAGTCCTTAATTTCTAACCTAGAAATAGATTAAATACAAAGTACACGTTGTCTTCACACTCTCTGTTCAGCAAATTATTTGAAAGGTTGTGCATTTAAAGAGATTACTGGGTCACTAAATAAATACACGGTGTCATTGATACTAGGGTTGCCGCGGGTAACGGGTCGGGTACCCGTTACCCGCATACCCGCTCGATTCTTGCGGGTAGCGAGGACTACCCGCACGGGTAACGGGTAGTTTAGTTTTTTATTTAATTTTCAACGTAAATCAGTTCACAAAGAAAGTTAGCAGCAAGTTAGTCCATTTACGCACAAAAGAGTCAATTTATTATTTTTCCATTTCAAAATTTGTCATTTGCCAGCAACAAGCGTTTATAACCAGCGTATCTTTAAGGAAACCACAGAAGCCTATGCCGGCCTCAAATACTTTTCACGTTCAGGAAATGCGGAATAATTACATATTGTTTTTCAAGCATAGTTTGCCTGCTCTAAGATATCAGTAATAATTTGACCTGTATTTGTGTGTATTTGTTTATGTAAGACTGCCGAGGTTTTAATTTGTTCTTTGAGGATGAAAAACTTGAATCCGATTGAAAGCAAAAAATGTATTTGTAGACAATTTTTTTGAATGAAAACTTCAGTTAAATCAAAATTTGAAAAAATCCAACAAAAAATTGAACCTTTTTCAAGCTAAACCAAAATTGCACAGCGAGTATATTTTTATCAAAAACTCAAGCCAAAAATTAGGAATCACGTGATACTTATCTTTCCTTTAAATGGCCTCTTCGAAGAATAACATTGGCTGTAAAGTTTAATTTTTAAGGAAATGTTCTGTATCGTTTTCCTGCAATGGACAAAAACCATGGTGGACTTTGAACTCTGCCCCCGCAATAGTTTCCTTTAAACTGTTCATTCAATGGACAAATTAGTGCAATGTAATTCCTATTTGTTGGTTTAATTTTTTGATATGCATAAATCGCTAAGAAATACCGACATAACTTGAAAAACGATCCAATTGTAAGCCAAAAGGCATGCGTTACTTGCATAGCACTATCTCAAAGTACATATCAACTCAAATGAACAAATAATTGATCAAATCCAACTTATTCTCAAGCGTGGCTAGTTTTTAACCTAATTCTCATAACGGGTAGCGGGTACCCGTGCGGGTACGGGTAGTTGTGCTGCGGGTAGCGGGTCGGGTAACGGGTAGCATTTTCGCTACCCGCGGCAACCCTAATTGATACCTCGCAAAATCTAGAAGTTTCGTAAAATCATTTTACAAACTTTTACAAAATACAAAGACATCCTTTATCTGAGCTTTTTGTAAGCTAATTTTCCTTTGAAATATTTATAACTTTATAAAAGTCTGCATGAATATCATGCACTACGTGAATTACACCAATGTCTGCATGAATTCCAAGGAAATTATTTCCTCGTAAATTCTGTCTCAAATTTTACTACTTTACATTTTTTAATTTTCAGAAAAAATGTCTCACTTGAGTGAAAGAGATGTCTTAGCCAAAACCATTTACGCCGAAGCTAGAGGCGAGCCCGACGAGGGACAGAGGGCCGTCGGTCACGTGATCAGGAATAGAGCAGAAAAAAACCGCGACTACTGGGGCGGTAGTACTATAGGGGTGTGCGTCAAACACCAACAATTCGAATGTTGGAACGGAAGGAGTGACATTGACATCCACGAACCACAAGCGTACCAAAAAGCGCAGAGAATTGCGGATGAGGTTTTGTCATCTGGGGACCATGACCCCTCGCGGGGATCCACCCATTACAACAATCCAGACAAAGAGGACCCAGAGTGGGCGAGAAAGATTCCGAAAACTGTTAAGATTGGGAATCATCAGTTTTATGAGTAAATTTGATCAATGCACTCACCAGAACGATTAAATTATTGCAATACGGACTAGAATTCCCCGGTTACATAAGTAAAGAAAGTTGTATGTACACATGTATGTATGTCCATAGCGGAACTCCCGTCCTAACCTTAGTTAACCTCCTGTTAACTTTACTAAGGTATGTTAAGTATGGTTTGGTACGAATGCAAAGTTCAAAATTAAATAATAGTGTAAAAATAGATTGGAAAATTTTATCGTATTCAATTGAGAATTAATGCATCATTTAAACGCCATCCCATGCGGACATACATCACCATTACATCTTGCATAAGTACAAACTTATGTAACCTTTAATTAAAAGCGAATCAAACGATTGTGTAAGCTATTTCCATTAAATTGTCCACTTATCGATCAAATCAAACATACACAAAACCCAAATTAGTCCAGCACGCTAATGGAACGGTGACTGATAAGATTATTAATTTAATTCACTTCAACTTCCTAAATAAAGTCCTTATATTCGACCACACTTCGCGAGAACGACACGCTTAATTAATCCATTCCTTCCTTCTTCTACACCAACTTTTTTAAAAAAATGTCCTTTAACCTCCTCCCTCTTTTTCCCCTCTTTTTCCTCCTCCCTTACTCCACCCCTCAACTCCTCACTACCGAATGTGGCGCCCGGCTTGCATCCGGGCGATACGCCACCACCGCCATCTATGACGAATCCGACTCCATCTACATAATCGGCGGGATACCGTACGGTGACTACGAAATTTCGAGGTACTCCATCACCTCGGACGAAATCTCCATCGTGGCACGCCTCCCCTCCAACCGGGCCGCCGGGACGATGTCGATTGACACGCAGGGGAGCATTTATTACCATGGCGGCGTCCAAAACGGGCAGTACGGAAGGAACGACATTTTCAAATATATCCCGGGAAACATTAACCCCGTCAGAGCGATTGGCGTCATCCCCTGGTATAACTTCAACTCGGTCGCCTTTCCGAGCTGGGAGGACCCCAATAATATCTTTATTCTGGGTGGATCCCTCTACAAAGAGGTGATTATCCTCTTCAACCAGACGAGCTCCACCTCGGCAAGGGTAGGCTTGCTACCGACGGAGTATAATTTGCAAGCAGGAGTGTCCGATGGGGCGGGGAGCGCGTATTTATTCGTAAATGTGGAGGGGGGCATTCCATCCGTGGTGAAGTTTAATATGACTTCATTCCAAGTTGAGGCAGAGGCTCCGATATTGGGGGGATTCTCTTTTAAAGGTTTACATTTTTATAATTTAAATAAAGCGTTGTAACTGTTGTTAAATAACCGTTGCACATAAGGAAGTAGCTTCAGACTCCCTTTACCCCAACCACTCCCACGACATCGCGGGAACACTGAATTTCGCTGTATAGATTCAATTTCAGTGAAAATCTCATTTTCCCCCGACCACACCCCCTGGTGCCCGGGGGGTGTGGCGCAATGGGGAACACACAAATTCACTCTATTTCATCCATAGAATCAATTGCGCAAAAAATCTCATTTTGCCCCGACCGCACCCCCTGGCGCCAAGGGGTGTGGTCCGGTTGCCCTCAAAAGTTAATAGGATCCTCCCCCTAGGGTCATATGCATGATGCCGGAAACCTATTTCGATTTTCTCGATCTGTTCTCCCGTAAACCTGCTGACGGACAGACGGACAAAGTCTTCGCATAAAGTAGCTGAAGCTACCTATTAAAATTTTAATTTATATTTCCCCGTTTTTTTAGGCACCCCTCACTCTGTCTGGGACGGAAGGAATGCATGGATAGTTGGGGGCTATGGCAACTGGACGACGGGTCCACGGCCCAATTCGATCCTTAAATTCGATCCGGAATCGATGCAAAGTGAAATTGTTCTGGTGGAGAATTTTCCAGTGAGTGCGGAAAATGTGACGTATCTCTCGGAGACGAATCCTGTTTGGGTCGAGGCGAATAATAGGATCTACTTTTTTGGAGGATACACCCGCAATACGCCGGGAAGTAATCAGATAATTCATGATAAAATTTGGTATATTCAATTACCTTAATGTATTCCTGGTTTGAGATGGATATAAATTGATGACATAATGTCATCTTTCTGCATATCCAACAAATTTAATTGGTTTAATTAAAATATTATATGTATGTATTACATCGACTTTTTTCCAGTGAATAAACAGATATTAATCACGAGATCCTTATATAATCCGCAATGTTAATCCGTAATGATTAATTATTTATTTATTTATTTATTTATTAATACAATGAGATACCCTACCAAGTAGGCTATTACATCTCAAGGTTAAGTACACTTCAATTTATACATTCTTCAAATTCAAAATCATCGATCATTTCAAAAATTTCACACATTCCTTCAGTCCTTTGTTTGTCTATTAGGAAAGTTTTTACAGAATTTTTAAAAAGATTAAAATTAACCTTTATAATGTCATTAGCATAGGAATCAGGCAAGTTAAATAAAGCTTTATGTGCTCTGTACCGAAATGACTTTTTTGCGACATTGCGTATTGGTTCCGAGTAAGTCTTATTTCTAGTACACTTCCTCTCAGTTCCCAAAGTTAAGTAATTTCTAAAATACACAGGTTCAACTTCATTCAACATTTTGTAAGCCATTTTTACAAGCCCTGGGTTTACAACATTTCGAGATAATAGCCAGGGATAATCACTTATATCATCAATTATCGACTCATATTTAGATTTACCCGATATAAATCGAGCACAAGCTCTAATTATTTTATCAATACAGAGTATATTTTTCTTACCAATTAACCAAATAGGACATGCATATGTATAAATCGAATTTACAAGCGCTTGTATCACTATTAATTTCTGTTGCTGATTTAATACATATTTTACAGGACGGAGAGACCATAAAGCTGCATAACATTTTTTAGCAACATTTTTACCGTGATTAATAAAATTAAGATCTTCGTCAATAGTTACACCTAATATTTTCATAGAATTTACTTTACACAGCGGAGCATTATTCAATGAGATACTTATATCGGCTAATCTTGATTTGTCCCTTTTATTACAAATAAACATTACAGCGCATTTATTAACGTTTAGTTCCTGCCAATTGTGTTTCATCCATACGCTAATTATATTTAGGTCATGTTCTAATTTTTCTTTAATAATTTCTATATCCTCAATTTTTCCTGCAATGGTAACCCCAGTATCATCTGCAAACATGATGGACAGACTATGCTTTAAATGATACGGAAGATCATTCATAATGATGAGGAATAATAAACAACTAATGCATAAACCTTGTGGAAAACCTAAATTAGTTGGCAAAGTCTTGGAATTTTTGACAGTTTCCTTACACGAAATACATACATATTGCGTTCTTTCACTTAACAAGGAGTAAATGATATCAGATTCGACTCCATACCATCGCAATTTATGAGAAAGCACCTCTTTTGAGGCCATATCGTATGCCTTTCTAATGTCTAACGATATCAATATACATACAAAATTGTTATTTAGGGCCTCATATGCAAAGTCCGTTATTGCAATAAGTGCATGAGTTGTAGAATGTAGTTTTCTAAAACCAAACTGATATTGAGATACTATTAGATTCGAGGTATACATATAACTGGTTAAATAAACACTTTGCAAAAAAATTAGATAAAATAGGTTGAATTGATATCGGGCGCAAATCATTTGGTGAGTTGACAACCTTAGTTTTTGGAATGGGGACTACTTTTGAACTCTTCAGTTCTTCAGGCAGTTGATTTGAGGAGATATATAGATTAAATAAATTTCTAAGCTGAACCTTAAAATTATATGATTCCATACAAATATTAATCATATTGTTACAAATACCCAGTGTATCATAAGCAATGGATGATCGGTTCTTCATTTGTTTCCACGTCTTGTTCATGTCATCAATAGTCAATTCAACAAATTTGAAGGTTTTCTCAGAATTATCCCAAGGTAGTGTAGGCTTTACAGGTAGTGTTGGTACCGGGGTCGACGGGCTTGTTGTGGAAATAGCAGCAAAGAAGGCATTTATCTCGTCCAGGCAAATATTTATTAAAGGTGGAGGGTTCAGCAGTGGGTATAGTTTGTTGAGAGCTCCCCATAAATGCAAAGACTGTACTTTGTTAGAGAATTCCAATTTAGTGTCACGATATATTGCTGCACTGACCCTCTTTTTTAATTGTAAAAATTGAGTTCTATTCACTTGATCCCTACTACCCCTATACTTATTGTAAGCAATATCTCTAATCTTTATTAAGTCTTTAGTTTGTTGTGAGATAAATTTCTTGGAAGGGTATTGGTATATGGTTTTATTTTTAAATGGGGCGTATTTATTGAATACTGTGAGAATTGTAGACAGAGTAGTATTGGTGGCGTTGTACGTAGAAACTATATTATCGAGTTGAAGAGAGTCCATTGACTTTAATACATTTTCTTTATTAAGTGAATTAAACTTACGATAACTAATGGTTATTTTAGGTACTTTTGGCCTAATGAGATTTAGATTACATTCAGTGTAAGAATGGTCAGATAATTGTGGATTATAAATATATTTACTTATCACTGTGTTAATATTGTTTGTCACGATTAAGTCTAAAATATTATCTCCACGGGTGGGCGTATCAATAATTTGATACAATGAATGGCGAGACAAAATTTCATTAAATGGGGTAAATGTCCTTTCATCACGTAGATTAAAATCGCCTAATATGTACATATTTTTGCTTAACATACATATATTCGTAAAAAATTCATTAAAATAATCATAATCACTTGTCAGAGTTTCACCAGAGTAGTCAGGGTGTCTGTATAAACATCCCACAATGAAGGACTTATTAAAACCGTCCTGAACCACTATGCATAACTGTTCAGTATTTTTCGTTTCGTCAATATAATTACATATATTAAGAATTTTTATTTTTAGCTGAGATTTAGTAAAAATTGCTACACCTCTGTCCCCTGACTAGAGATGCCAGCAAGCCGGCTTATTGAGTTGTGAGTCAAAACAAGCCGGCTTATTGAGTTGTGAGTCGAAGCAAGCCGAGTCAGAAGCAAGCCGGCTTGCTTCGACTCACAACTCAATAAGCCGGCTTGGCTTGACTCGACTCAATAAGCCGAGTCAGCTTATGGACATGCATTCTGGTTTAAGTAAATGGACATTAAATAATTATAGAAATCAAAATAACATTCAGAAAAATTAAAGTTGACTTTTGAAATGTTAAGCATCCAATTGAAATCATTAATAAACTTATACTAATATCATAAACTACATAACTACATACATATGTACATATGTACGTAAATAAAGTAATTTGTGTGATTAAATGCAAAACTGAAATTGGATCCATTGTTACAGTTAAAAATAAATATTTTCTCCTTCAATTACTATACAGTAGTTTAACAAAATAAATTTAATAAATTTGCACATTTAAAAACCCTACGAATTTTTAGACATTTAAGATTTATGAAGATAAAACAGCTGATTATATTAGCAGTTATATTATTTGAATATCAATATTCGTCTCAATTTTAAATTTTTGATATTGTGAAGCACAAAATACAATAATAATTTAGGATTAGTTTATAATTGCAACAAAAATAACATGTCAATACAAGTGGAGCGGAGTAAATATGTTTGTGTACGTATGTATGTATGTACATACGTGTGTAAGCACGAGGAGGCGGAGTCAGCGGCTTATTGAGTCAAGCCGAGTCAAGCCAAGTCCAACTCATTTCAACTCACAACTCAATAAGCCGGCTTATTGAGTCAGCGGCTTACTCAACTCAACTCAGCTTGACTCAACTCAACTCAATAAGCCGATTCAAGCCAAGCCGAGTTGGCAACTCTACCCCTGACTTAACGGCGTCTTTTCTATGTACATGGTATCCAGGAAAGCAACGTAATTGAGTATTTGGTCTGAGTCTGGATTCACTTATGCATAAAATGTCAATATTTTGCAGAGATAAAAATGCGGCTAGCTCATGGAACTTTTTTTGAATCAAGTTAATGTTTATATGAGCCAATTTTAGATTCCGTTCTTTGTCGTTTTTCACATGGTTGGGTCTAAAAAATGTCTCGAATTGTTTGTTGGGGTTTGGAAATTTTGTGAGTCGTCCAACGGAGATTCATTGATGGGGGAGAAATTATTCGTATTCATAGTTGATAATGTCTTTGAAGAACCAGTCTCAGGTCGTAGATTTTGAAGGTATCCACCAGGATGAGATTGAGACCTTAGGGAATCGAGACTTGAGTCGTAGATCATTATAGTGGGATCTTGTGCTCCAACTCCAGGGGCTTGCGACCCCCTCGGCTGGGTACTTGATCTTGTATTACCGAATGATAAGTTACTTGTTCTTTGCTTCTCACGATGTAATGCCGGCGTAGTAGATGTTTTATAAATCTTCTCAATAAGATTTCCATTTAATAGATAAAAAGACGACTCACCACTGTTTATCGTTCTCTTTGACCAATCAACGTGAATTTGTTTCGCATCATATCCCAGATTGCGTAATTGAGAACGTTTCTGTCGTAGAATCCTATGATCGTTTCTTAGCGATGCGGGTAAATCTTCGTTTATAAATGTCGGCTTATTCACTTTGAATCTATTTCCATAAACTTCATTTCTTTCAAACAGTGATAAGAACCTTACTTTTATTGGTCTAGTCGAGTTTTTTGATGGTTCCCCAATTCTATATGCGGTGTCAAAGTTGTACGTGTGTCCTGTTGCTTTAATAACATTTGCCACTTGATCAAATAAGTCTTTTTGGGATTCATTGATTCTTTCAGGGATTCCTGAGAATATTAGATTAATTTTCGATAACTCGCACCAAAGTCGCTCATTTTCACCTGTAATTTCGGATACTTTAATCTTTAGACTTTTTACTTCACTTTCAAGCTCATCAAGCTTCTCTTTGTGGAGGGCGACTGAGGTATCAAGATTATCAAATCTGCTGGTGAGAATTTTCGTGTTATCATTAAGTAGTTGGGTTAGTATACCAATTGTAATCGGAGAGTTATCACTATTTTCACTACTATTGGGACCAATATTCAGACCCATGTCGAAAGCCTGGTCAGGAATGGTACAAAGCTTTAACTTTTTGGGCGCAGAGACTTTACGGGGTTTAGTAATTCTCTTATTAATTGGCGTTTTTACTAGCACAACAGCCTTCCGTTTTCCAGCCATTAATTAATTAATCAATCCGATCCAACCCACACCTGGAGAATCACAGGCTGATTCAGGATCTCCGATTGAGTGGGCGAGACCAATACACTTTACTTATGTTTTATTTTATGGACAACTAAAAAGTTGATGCTGTTGCTCTGACTTACTGGACTGGACTTAATCACAAAATGTACGCAGATGGATATATGTAAATACTATTAAATTTTTGTGTTAATGATTAGCGACATTTTATGAACTTTTAAAAGTACCATAAGTTATTAGTAATCAGATAATGTACATGCATGTATGGCCATGTTACAATTTATTTTAATTTATCATCGTAACGTTGTGGACATTAACTACATATTTTACTAATTTAATTAACTTGCGAATATTCCAAACATCTGTATTTTCTGTTTTTTGATCAATTTTTTAAACAAACCGTTGTGTTCATGATCCATGAAAAGTGAGTCAGCACATCTATTACAATTTATTACAATTGTGTCTGGTGTCAACAATGCAACATGGTCTTATCACGTTGCTCACGAAGTCGAACGTATACAATTCAACCGATAAGTCTGTATATATGAGTATGTTGCATAAATTGGAGATATACACTATGAAACAAATTTAGTCAGACGGTAAGTTATTTCTGTCGGAGTGAAATATACAAATCTGAAATTTTAAAGAGAGAGACATGAAACCTGTTGTAGTTGAACCAGGATTGGATTTTAAAGAATCTGACCAAAAAGACGCATTTTTTTTAACCTCAACCTTATGTACATAGACATGCTTGGACTTTTTTTATATTTCTTTAGTTGGGACAATTTGTGCTTACAGCTCTTATGCGCGGATAGGCATACATATTTTTTTGAGATCTTTTTTTCATGACCGCAGTGATTTCTTGAACAGTGCTGCTTCCGAAATTTTTGAGCCAAAAGCGCACAGAGGTGTATCGCACATCAAAATTACGTTGGATGATGTTTAAAAATATGCAAGTAAGATTAAAATTTTCTAACGATAGCTAAGGTATTCTTGAGTTCCTTGTTAAAAAAATTGTGACCTTTGACCAGTGTGATATTCTTTCAAAATTGAATCGCTGTAGTTCAACTTAACCACAACAGTTGTCTAAACGTCAGGGCAGTATATAAGTATGTATCGCCCATTCTACCGAGAGACTGGAAAGTTGCATACCCTATAGTTAAATTTTTTACATACTGTAGTTACATAAATATACATATATGTGAGTATCATCTGTACGATGGTATTAGTCGATCGTATAAATACGTAGATAGTATAGGCAATGAGGCTTCTCATTGTTCAAACAAAGTATTCCTTTACTACCTAGTACATATAAACACATCGTATACTCTGATATATATTTATACGGCTTTCAGCCCACATTTAAATATGCTCAATGATCATTACATAAATAGTAATATATGTACATACGTCAATTAGTCAAAACAAGTAACTACCTTAATTCATTTACGATTACTCAAAAGCAATTCCCCTCAACAAATATTTGGTAAATATTATGTTGCCACCACTCTGTCTCAGGCATCCATATATTACTCGTTGAGCCAATGTGTGCAAACGTTGCTGAACTTATTTAGTGGCAATATATCCCTAATTTTTTAAAACTTCAACATGTCACTATGTTGTCAGGGTTGGTTAATAGTGCCAGTGCAAGCTCCGGCGGCGGCGGAAATGTGGGTTACACATCCTAAAATTTTAAACGTACTGCTAAACCACTATTATCCTACGGAAAGCTTGCAGATACTTTCCGATACGCTGGGCACTCCGGCATGGAAATACTATTCACTCACGTGGTTGAATTACCACGACCCGTACTCTCTTATTAGAGAGATAATGCACTCTTGGAAAAGTAGGGTGGGAATTGGAGCAACTGTCGCAGCGTTAGAAGTAATTTTGAGTGACCTTAACGCCCAGGACTGCGCTGGTAAGTATTGTTTTTATAACTTACCTACTAGAGAACCTTCTTCGGTGTCCGGGGACGTTTATAAATTAAGTAATGCAGAAATGAGATTTTTTTCTACCCCCACGTCCGTGTTGTAACTCTCATATTACACTTTCTCATTAGTCCCCCACCCTATTTGAGCCAGTAGCCCTCTAATTTTTGAAATTTAAAAAATTCCAATACCAAAATTGCATAGTTTTTCTACCCCACGCTCCCCCCACACTACGCTTCCTCATAGCCTCGCCCTATTTGAGATATATGTAAAGTATCCAGTAGTCATCTAATTTTTGAAATTTAGAAAATTCCTATACCCAAATCGTAGAGCGCATTCATCCCTTTGTAAATTTGATGGAAGAACCTCAATCTGATGAACCTCATCCCGCAATACTTCCACCGGTGGAAATTATGAAGGCATGGTGGATATTATTGGTCGCAGCGTTGCTGATTATTTAGCTTGCCGTAATTAGCTTAGTAATACCCAGGCGGTCGTCATTTCGTGAGGAAAAGGTCACCTTCGGCCTACAACTCGGCACATCTTCGGCCATTGTTCACAACATGGAAATAATTTGTTCCAACGCGAACGGTGGAGTTTTACTGAATGGGGATCGGAACAGGCAGGGTGGACCAAGTGAACTTCGTCGGTTGTAATGTTGCCGTTGCGGTGAAAGGAAATCATAACGCGGTCGAGTCCGTCGCCATAGGAAAATCTCGGGTGGGCATCTTACTCTCTGGGGAGGGCAATACGGTGCGGAGTGTAGCTGTCAGGAGGGTGTGCAAGTATGGGGTGTATGTGGAAGGTGAGAGAAACCTGGTGGATGGCGTGGTTATATGGAATGTTCCTTTGGGCGTGGTCATCGTGGGGAATGAGAATAAGGTTTGTGGTTAGATATTTTCATATGGAAGTTATGGAATAGTGATTCATAAGAATCCCAGTCAGATTCGAATCCAACTTCGGCCTAGTCTATTATAGTCTAATGTGCGAAATTTGAGTACGAATCAAATCCGGGATCAGAATGGTGAGTACGAATCTGACTCATGTTTTTTTTATGGAGGCCTCCATGTCGATTTCGACGCCGATTTTAATGACGTAATATATTTCCGTTCCATTTACATAGGTCCGGAATCTCAACTATGCCAAAGACAACAAAGCCGGGATTGGGTTTGGTGCCATCTCTGTGATTAACGGGACAGGGACAGAACTCCAGAACGTGACGTGTCAAGAACTACAAGAAGACAAGGGGGATTAAGGCATCCTAATCAACCCTGAATGGTCCGAGGGGGACTTAATCGATATCAAAAACTGTCCCGTTTGGATGAACGGAACAGGGCATGATGTTCCTCACGGGGTTAACATTGCGGGAGTAAATGAATTTTCTTGGGCATGCGCAACTCGCTTAGAACCTGTTTTAGTGAGTAATTCCGACGAGCTCAACAAAGCCCTGGCGAACATGGCTTCCCTAAAAAAGGTCAATTGTCCACGTGCCAATCGAATAATTTTGGGGGAGGGGGACTTTACACTAGAAAAACCATTCTTAGCGTCGATGGAGTATTTTATATTGGAAGGGCAGGGTCCGAGGGGAACGATTTTGAGGGTTTGATATGCAATATTTTAAAATGTTACATCTTTTTTTTTGAAAATTATTTTGTAACTAATTATTGGTCAGGATATGTCTATGCATAAATATCGAAGTACCTAGGAAAATTTATGTAAATAAAGTACCGAAAACAGTATTCAAGAAGTACATATTTAAATGATAATCCGGCATAAAATCCAGCAAATAATTAGCTGGATTTGACTACTTTTGTAGTTTAATTTGCTTTACTAGTAGGAATTTGTGGTTCTGACTATATTCCGATGTTGGTGAAGTTTGGTAAGCATTAAGTACGTGATACAACAGTTCGATATTACATGTACATACATGACTGATACATTTAATCAGTGATAAGTGACTCATCATGAGTCATGTATTCATGTACATATGTATTTAATACTCAACTGCGTAAGAGCAATTATGCACTTGGGCTGACCAATATGCATACATAAATAGTAATAAGCCGTCTCAAACGAACATAAAAAAGTGGCGACATATATATGTAAAATGCAAAATGACATTCAACTTGAAAATTCTGCATTTTTTACCTTTCACTTCGTCCTATGGTTATGGATTGGTTGGAGGCCAAAAATAAATATTTGCGACAAAATTTCCATCAAAATGTCAACCCATATTAAAATTACGGCTAAATTTAATTTTACACCCCATCGCGCGGGGGGTGGTCCGATTGTCCACAGTATCGAACTTGACCGATAATTACAAATTAGAAGCACGATGATGAAACGTCTTTTCGATATGTTGAGAAGTTCTTCATTTATCCTACTTACGAACGAACAGACGGACAAAATCGATCACAGTAAGCGGCTTGCTGCACCAATCTAATACATATGTAACAACTTTGCGAGAAGAAATTAAGCTAGTGTATGAATGTACATACATACTTTCTCACATATATTTTTTGCGGACATTATATCCCTTTTGTGGTCAGTTGTTTTACTGCGTAACTATGAGGATATGACATCATTAGTATGTAGTATTTTAAAAAGTCAATGTCGAGTATAGACTTAATCCATGAGTTATGAAATTTATTAGAATTAACCTAACCCTCATGCTCAATTACTTCCTCATTCAGCGACGAATTGCCGGACTAATCAGTCTATGCAGAATTACCAACTGTGTACTTGCTTGCATGCCAAATAATTTACACGGTGAATGTGTTGCAGAGTCAAATTCAAGAGTTGTGCATACATATATTTATGTGCATACATACTGCTTGACATTTGGTATAATCACAGAGCTAGTGATTTCTCGGTAATAAATTGTGTACCGCTTGGTATAAAAATTAAATCGGTAAGTACAAATTTACTTCATTCATACATACATATGCATAATCCAATCACATTAATACTGATCTATGTAATATTGGCATTAACCGCTTGCCGGGTTACATTAATACTGGATTTATAAGAATGTATTTATGTATACTGCTAGAAATCTGGTACAGTCAGACCAGTATTTAAATATTTCTCGGCATTAGAGTAGCTTCCAGTTGGTAGTAATATTATGTATGTATTCCAGTCTGTAAAAACTTGATTGTACCGATATGGTAAAATGTTAATACCATGCTACTAACTAACAATCGAGGTCTCCCAACGTATTTTCACAGATTTGAACTAGTCTCAATCGATCACAAGTACTAATACCTAGGTAGTTGTATTACTTATCAATACATCTACATATTCATACATATTTATTACATGAATACCTTTTGGTATTACTTTAATACTAGTTTTCTAAAAATGCCTAGTTCCTCGTGGTGACGAATTCAACTACGGAGGAAAACCAAATGAACAGGAGTCGAAATTTGATTTCCATTTGTGGCGAGAGAGAGAGGCAGAGTGAGACAAAAACTCGGATTCTGGTGCATGTCCACCACCATTGCTGATCGTCTTTACCACAGTGCCGTATTTGTCTCACTGTCTTTCGATTTGGATGAACTAAATATTGCTTATCTGAAAAATTGATTAATAAAATGATAAGCCCCGTAGCGTAACTTTTGGAGAAGAATACTTATTACTTTAAGTATGCTGTATGCCACGCCACTTGCCTTATGAGGCCCCTCCCCCGGAAACTTTGATCCCAAAAAACTCGGGTGTGCACAACTTTGCAGGCGGACAACAAACGCTTAAAATGTAGCTTATCCCTAGGAGAAAAATCTGGCATCAGGTTGTCAGACTGCAAAGTTGTGCACACCCGAGTTTTATAGGGATTTATGTATACGCAGAAAAACCGCGAATTTTCGAATTTTGAAACTTTGAATGCATCAAAATATTCGCATTCGTAAGGGAATTCACATGTCAAATGCAACTTGGGGTCTAATGCTTACTTCACCGAGTGTACATTGACATTCGCAATTTTACAAATTTGTTTCCCATATTTTCATAGTGGGGGTGGTTGCATATAATTTAAAAATAGATATGCTAAATTGATCGTCACACCCGGAATTCAAATAACAATTTTTTAAATTATAATCGATGACATCGATGCGAAAAGGAACGACAACCTTTTGTTTGGTTTTCCTCTACGTCAGAAATTACCAAACACTCAATTTCCACTTCAAACATGACCCAAAATAATGTATCATCCGCCCAAAAGGATACTTTACGCGAAATCAAGATAGTTCTTGTCGGCGATAGCACCGTGGGCAAGAAAGCAATAATAATTTCAAAGATTTGTAAATTTTGCTGATTTTTAAAATTATATATTTGGTTGTAATTTGTAATACATACGTCCTCTCATAAAATGCAGGAAAAAGGTCCCTCCTTACCAGATATGCGTGTGATTGGTTTCCTGGCGATTTTATTCCGGCGTAAGAATTAAGATACTAAAACAATTTATGCCATCATTAGTAACCTGTAAAATTCGTAGATTTTGTAAACTAATTTTACAAATTCTTACATACTTACGTACAAAATAAAAATACCGTAAAAACTCAAATAGTAGCCGTTGCTCAAATAGTAGCCGTGCTCAAATAGTAGCCCTGCATTTTTTCATAATTTTATAAATAGTGACCTTGCCCAAATAGTAGCCCTGCTCAAATAGTAGCCCTGCCCAAATAGTAGCCTTATTCGAATTATAGCCGTGCATCAACTTAACCACACATCTCCTACCCAGGTCATTTAAGCAATTCAATTATAATTCTATTTAATCGCAATTACATACAAAAAATCGAGGTGAACACGAAATTCAACTCATCGAATAAATTGATTAAGCAGGTTTAAACAATAGAATTGTCATAGACTGTGATTCCAGGGGAGAAATTGGTGCTGTTATTAAAATTTAATTTGAGCTTGATTCTGGAAACAAAATTCAATAGCTGTGTGCGAATAGTAGCCGTGCATCTTTCCGAAATTTTGTAAATAGTGACCCTGCCCAAATAGTAGCCTTGCTCAAATAGTAGCCGGGTCCCAGACACCGATTTTGTAAATAGTAGCCCCCGGCTACTATTTGAGTTTTTACGGTAAGTATGTCTTTGATCTGAACAAGTTTACAAAAAAATTTGAGCAAGTATTCTTTAGAAATACTTATAAAATTTTGTTAAAATTTGAAAAGATTGTAAAGGATTCAAAAAAGTATGATTTCTTGAACTCAAGTATTTATGTATAACGAGGCATAGTCGGTTGTAACTTTGTGAAATCCGTTAATTTTGTAAAATGATATTACAATCCTTTACAAAATAAAAAGATCTGACCAAGTTTAAAAAAATTTGTGAGCTAAATAGATAAATAATTGTCCTTACAAATATTTGCAAAATTACGTACAAGTGTGTATGTACATAAGTTTACAGAATTTTTTTACGAGTTTTACAATGTTCCCAAGGTCTGCGTCGATAACAGTTATTATCCTTCACCCTCGGTAAATACATAAATAATTTTGCGTCAATGTTCATATGTAGATGTGAAGATAACTACAATAAAAAAGTTGTGATCGACGGGATGCAATACCTTTTAACCTCATGGAACACTTGTGGTCTGGATGGCTATTCACGGTTGCGACCGCTCGCTTATCCCGGGGTACGATTAGTCTTTGGAGAAATGAATCCTACATGTACTGTTAAAACTCTGATAGATTCGCAAAAATACCACGTACTGACTGGCATTCATTTAGTGATAACTTCCTACATATCCGATTGGTACCGCGTGCTGTGCATATGTGGCTTCACCAAAATGGTGATGATATTTTTCACCACATGGTGATAAATTGTTACTCGTAATTTATCACTACTTGGTGAGTGATATTATCACCGAGAGGCGAAGTCACATACTTATGCTGCATAAGTTACACATGCACAGTTCAGTGACGATTAACATCGGGTTTTTAAAAGTGTAGTGTTCGTGAGTATTTGTTGGTAATTTTATTATTATTACAACATTACTGAGCGGTTACCCCCATTATGTATTACTTTACTGCTATGTATGTAGAGTCATACATATTTTCATCTGCACATGTACTCCGGTATTTAATACTACTTTTTTAAGAGTGTGCTTCTAATAAGTTCCAGACTGAGTGCTTCATAACTTCATAATCTGCTACGCTATCGATAATCGGGCATCTTTCGACAACGTGGAACTCAAATGGGTTCCCGAGCTGAGCCAGTACTGTCCCGACACGCCGTATCTGCTCGTCGGGACGAAGAGTGACCTCCGCAGCAGTCCACCGAATGCCGATCCCTTATCCGCCACCGACCTTATCTCCGACCGTGAAGGGAAGAGGTTGAAGGACAAGATAAAGGCGGCCGCGTTTTTGACCTGCTCCGCTAAGGAATTTGGGGAGGATTTGGATGAAATATTTATCGAAGCGGTGAGATTGATTGTAAAGAAGAAAAGTATGAGAGGGCGTTCCAAGTTGAAGAAACGTAACTGTAGTCTTGTATAAATATGTACACAAATTTTGAAGGTAAAAAAAGCACAATAGCGTCCGTTGGACAAGTTTACACGGGTGATTTGATTATGCAAAATTACAAATCTAAAAATAACTTCAACAATTTAGAAGAAAGTGAGATTCAAGACAAGATTCCCTATCTCACCAAATTCGTACCCGATATTCAACCTACATAGATACATATTTGTCCTTAGAGAATTTCATTGTGCTTTGTGGAACTGCAATTAGCGGAATTTTACTCACCTTTGACAACCACTATCTGTTTTCCAAATACATACATATGCAACATATGTACATGTAGACACTTATTTTATCACTTTCTTCTACTCTACACAATGTTAACTGTCAAGAAATATGTATGACACTAAATTTCTAACGAAAAAATGTACTTGAACATGTCACTTATAAACAATATTATTACCTATGCAAGACTTCGACCTACTAAAAATCTTTTACCTTTTATACGAAATACAAAATATTTCTAATACATACAAAACAGAATTGAAGTTATCAAGTGACACATGTCATTTAATTGTAATATCTGCATACTTAACAATTTGATCATAACTATGCTATTGAAATTTTAGATGAAACAAAGTTTAAATTGCGACTCAAACTTACAAAACTTAAAGCTGTAAGAATGAACGGCATCACTTTCCCCGTCATACTAACCCTCCTTATTTTTCCGACTAATTCACATCCAACGAAAAAACAAAATCCTCCAAAGTCTTTAAATCTACCCTATTTTCTAAAAACATTTGCCAATTGCACCGTCACATTTATCCACTTTGCCAATTTTACGAACCCCTACTTCCCCAGGATTCATAGAGATTTGCCCATCTCAAAATCCCCAAATCATCTCATCTTGACTTATTCCGCCTCCGAAAAAATGTTCCTACCGCCACCGGTAGAATATCAAAGTCGCTTATCAAACGTAAAAAAATCCAGACACACAACTTCCTGCCGAGTCACGCTCCTTCTCCAACCCGAACGTGCCCCCGCAATTCACCTATTTCTAAACCTAGTCGATCTCATTGTAACGAACGGAATAGAAAATTCCCACATCTATGTCGACGACATTTACAATTTGTTCACCTCCGAACCCGTAATCGCGGAGGAGGGTGACCCCCACCACATAATCTGGATAATCGACCGAACCACGGAATTATATTCCTTGATAAAACCCGCCATTTCCTACCTGCTCAAAAGGAAGAACGCACTCCTTTCAGTTAACATTTATCTCTTTGACGTAGAATCCTTAGAATTCGAGCAAATAAATAATTACTACTTTTCGATCCCCCTCCACTTAAATGTGGAATCCGAGTGGAGTGGAAACTTACCCTGTCTTACGGATCAGATTGCCCCAACCGAATGCCGCGACCTGCTAGATTTAAACGAGGAGCATATTTCCCGCTACAACGAATGGATGTGGGTGCCTGGCTCGCTACCTACTAGTCGATACACTTCGTACGAAAGGCTCGAGATTTTACGGGAATTCTATTACAGCGGGTTTTTCGATCGTATGCACGATTTTTCTGCGGTGATAACCTTACTTAGAAAAATATCTTTTGAAGAATTTCTCGGAGTTCTGCTGCTACCAAATGTCACCCAGCATTTTTCTGTAACAATTTTGATAAATCCCCGGGCGGCGTTCGACACTGCAAAAAACACGCTCGAACTTGATCTCTGGCACCCGGTCATAATTTTGTCGGGGAGTCAAAGCTACAACTTTTTGTCGTGTTTTGGTCTTCAAAGAGACAGATGGGCGGTGTACGTGATGCCGTTCGATAAGTTGACATGGATATTAATTGCTGTTTGCGTTATCGTGATTTGTATCTTGATTGAATTTTCCCCGGATGCATGCTTATCGTTGTCATTGACGAATATGATAAACCTTGCTGCTGCTTCGATGGAAATATCAGTGTTTATTCGCAGAACACCCCATTGGTTTGCAACCTATCTAATCTGGTTGTGGGTGGGGAACGCGATCATTTTGACAAACTGGTATAAAACCGTATTCACGTCGGATGTCGTAATGCCATATGCGACGTATGCTAATTGGTAGACGTTAAGTGATCTGTAAGAACATTCATTCATTCATTTATTTATTTAATAGAGAATGAATACATTATTCATTCATTATTCTACAAATTTAAGAATAATTAGTGAATATTGTTTTCAAAATTTTTGAATCTTGAGTAAATATTTATTCATTTCATATTCATGAAAAGTGAGCGAGTGACTTTGTTCATTGTTCACGGTATGCTTAATACTCGGAGTATATTAAGATATCTCTTTAAGAATGGAAATTTGAGATAAAATAAATAAAAAAATGAATAATTAATAAGTATTTATTTTCTAATTTTGAATAAATGAATAAGGAATGAATGATTAATTTTTTCCGATTTAAAATTGAATAATTCTTTACAAAAGAAATATTTTTATTCAAATTTACGATAATTGGATAGTGAGCGAATAATTGTTTCCTATTTCCAAAGTGAATGCTTTTGAATGAAGAAATATTTTTTGATCAGATATCACGACGGATTCCATCTGTACTTTCCCATCCAGGACTGAATGCTGAATGCTGAATATTCCTACCTACACGACCCAGCATCCTGGCATAGCGCCGAAATTCGGCACGATTTATGGAAACTGCTAGGATTTAAGACGCAAGAAGAGATGGATTCAATTGGAAAATATTCGTCCGAATTGCAATATATTTTTGCAGGAATTAGTAACGGGAGGAATCTGACTCCAAAGTTTCATTACTTGCATTACCGGTATCCTAACCATTTTCGCGCCAATTTTTCCCGCTGTAATGAAAAAGGGCGTATCTAGACAGGAGTAAGAATACGGAGGCACTCCTACCATTTTTGAACGATAATCATCAAGGGTTAAAATTTCTGAGTGGAGAATAAGAAGGGTTTCTTAGGAAGTGGGAAGGTTGGAATTTCCCGCGGGTGAGAAATCACTATGCTGCGGGAATATTGAAGAAATTGATTTATTCTGGGATTTGTTCCCGGTGGGAGAAACTGTATGAGAAATTCAATCCAGAGAAATTGTTTGATTTTTATGAAAATTGGAGGCCGACGAGGAGAAATGAGTTTCTTAAGCTGGGAATGACCTCGCAAATTTTTCCGGCTTTTTATATGTTCGGAGTTGGAGTTGGGGTAGCAAGTCTTATGGTGGGGGTGGAAATTATGTCTGGGTTTAGGCTTGGTCGAGTTAAGTAGCTTGCAGGTAAGTTAATTAGTCGAACTTTCCAGTGTTACTTAACATAACTGTTTCCGGAGATAATTATCTTCTGGAATAAAAATCGATACCAAACTAAATGCATATCTGTATTTGGTACATAAATTATGTATCTCATACTAACAATGCGACGGTGTGAGGTGGTTATCGCCGATATCCACCGGACTAATTTTAAATTGTTCACGTTCAAAAATAAGTGGACCCGTATTTTTTCGTTTTCCTGAATGGGCATGTTTACGCCCTTGGCGGAATTTTCAAAAAAAAATTTCAGCCAAAATGCGGATTTTTAAAAACGCTGTAACTTTTAGAATTTTAACCCGATTTAAAAAAATAAACCCATTTTTTGTTCAGAATTACATCCCTGAAAATATAAAAATTCATTTTTTTAAGTTTAAAAATTTGATATTTTCATGCTATTTTTGAATTTTATAAACCCAAAAAACGACAATTTTTTGAAAATTAAAAGTTTTTTAAAAATGAATTTTTATATTTTCAGGGATGTAATTCTGAACAAAAAATGGGTTTATTTTTTGAAATCGGGTTAAAATTCGAAAAGTTACAGCGTTTTTAAAAATCCGCATTTTGGCTGAAATTTTTTTTTTGAAAATTCCGCCAAGGGCGTAAACATGCCCATTCAGGAAAACGAAAAAATACGGGTCCACTTATTTTTGAACATGAACAATTTAAAATTAGTCCGGTGGATATCGGCGATAACCACCTCACACCTCCTCATTGTAAGAGTGTGACGGATGTTTAAATTAAAACAATAGGAAACTTTTTATTCCAGCTTCATGGTCATGAAGCATGTTTCGTTTTTTTACATATGTATATTTATGTGAATTACATAGTGATGAATTGAATAAAAGTAGGTCTTCATCCTCAAATTAATTGCAGATCCGGTTATCATCACTGTCATCGTAAAACACTTATTTTCCAGTAATTTGCAGATTTTGGCAAATTAATTTAACAAAGATAAAATTATGTAATGAGCGTGCAAAAAGGATATGCTAGATTTTTGCAGGAATTCTATAAGTCTCGTATTAAGTAATTGTGTCACAAGAGAAACATATTTTTGTTACCTACGGTGTGCACCACCCTTATTAAACATACATAATTCATCAATTTAATTATTACCTGACACAAGTGAACAACTGGTACCGTATTCGACCAATTATTTTAATCACCTTCATTTAAACGGGATCATTACCAAATTGGTTTAACCAAACCACAAAACATTTGTCTTCCACAGTTTTACTTCACAAGATGATCTGAAACCTTGTGTAAAATTAGTAGTGTAAAATTCCACAAGTTTTATGAAGTTGTGCAAATTTAGTAAAATATCCAGACACAAGTTGGAATTATTTATGTAATTCTGAATTTCTTAAAATTAAATAAAATGCGACTATTTGCATACTTCTGTTTCCTTCTAATCACCATCGTATCTTCGGAAACGGCCACATATTCCCTCACCGTCTCCCCCACTACGACCTATCCCGACGGGGTGAAGAAAGACTCCACCCTAACTTTTAATTCTCAATTTCCCGGGCCACTCCTCTCCGCAAAGGTTGGGGACAGATTCGTCATCACTTTAAAAAACGAGTTTTCCCGCCCCACAGCCGTCCACTGGCATGGGCTGTACCAAAAAGGAAGCCAATTTCACGACGGTCCCGCCATGGTGACACAATGCCCCTTGAAACCCGGGAAATCTCAGACTTTCAATTTTTCCACGGCCGGACAGGCTGGCACGTTCTGGTATCATGGCCACTACCGAAGTCAATACACGGATGGCTTAATCGGCCCCATGATTATCTATGATCCCGCCGAACCCGCCTATTTCGGCTATGACGCCGAACTAATTTTAATCCTTAGCGATTGGTATCACACTAATTATACGGAGAATGAAGACTTTTATCTTGCCACGGGAATCCCGCCATTTCCTAATTCGCCCCTTATCAATGGGAAAGGAATTTATCCTTGTGCTGTTTTCCCTGGTGGGTTTGGAACGTTACTACGAACACCGAATTGTTACCCGGAGAGACAGCAGAGACACATTTTTAGTGTCCAACCCGGTAGAACGTATCGAATTCGGGTCATTAATGCGAGTGCGCTGAGTACGTTTACATTTTCGATTGATGGACATAAACTGGTGGCGATTGAGGTGGATGGCGTCGCTTTGAAGGAGCCGTCAAAAAAGGCAGATTTTGCGTATATCGCGGCTGGACAGAGATACTCGTTCCTGATGAGGATGGACAAGCCAGCAAAAAAGTAAGTTCAGGGTGGTTTAAATGTCAGCTTACAATGGAAAATTTTTCAATGGGAAAAATTCGCAAATCTCCATTAGTTACCGAAATTTTGCCTCTGAAACTCAATATTTTAAGAATTTTGTCATCAGTATTCCAAAAGTTTTCATAAAAATTAATAAAAATCTCAATCCCACATCCGTAACTAATGGAAATTTACGAATTTTTCCCATTGAAAAATTTTCCATTGTAACCTGACATTTAAACCACCCTGCACATATAGATATGATTTTACTTCAGTATTAATTCATCCTCAGATCAATGGGATCTCTTTATTTTATAAAAGTTTGTAAAATTATTTTACAAAATTTATACGGATTTTACAAAGTTACCAAAGACAGCGTGAATGGTTTTGTACAAATTGAAACTTTCCATTCCGATTTTGTTTTCGGTAATTTGTAGTTTACTTATATAAATGTGAAAAGTTGTTAGATTTTTAATTTGAAAAATAACTTCCAACGTAAACTGGACTACATATGTAAACAAAGCTCTTGGGTATATTTAAATTTAAATAAAATATTTGAATTTACGAGCAAATTATAAAAATTTAGCCTACTTGAAAATTCAAGTTTACACCATGAAACAATTTAACTAATTATTTTTTTAATTAGTTGACATGACGAAAATTTAATTAATTCTTCTAAATCCTATGTATGTACCTCTAGATATTTAATCCGGTCCATCATGAAGGACGATTTTGTCAACCTTTTCCCCCGGACCGTGCCTAACATTAACCGTTTCGTGGAGGACACCCTACTCCAAAAAGCGACCGCTATCCTCTCGTATGACTCCGAAATGACCTCACCAACGCCAATCGCTTCGACGGAACCATTCTCGTACTTCAAGTACGCCACGATTCCACCTGACAGCCGGAAAAGTTTCGATTTACTGGACGACCAAGAACTCTCCCTAATTCCGAAGGATGACGACACCGCTCCGTGCCACGTGGATATCGAATTCGTGCTTAACATCGAGCTGAACTTATCAACGGAAAGGTCGCCTAGGTCACTATTTAATAGGAGTCGATACGTCGGAAATCATACGGCTGATCCGTTGCTGATCCAGGTCGTTAAAGGGGTAAAATTAAAGGAGACGACAAACCCGTTGTACGTGGATACAAATAAGGTGAGTAGATTTTTTTCGGGAAATTATCTTTATTTTCAGAATTATTGGTTTACACTTTCATAAAAAAGTGACGTGGAAATTGATTGATTTTCAATGGCTATCAGCGTCCTCATGACAACGTTGTATCAAACATTGCAAATCATCTTAAGAAATTGTGAATCTAAAAAAATATGTGGAAAAAAATTGTGAAACAGGGGATTCGTAAAATAAGATTTCGCAATATCTGTGCAAACAATTTGGCTGTCCTATGTTAATTAGGTTTTAATTAATTATTTCGAATTTCCAAAGCATTTCCTATATAAACAGCTTGCGTAATAAATTCAACTTTTCGAAACATGTGAACCATGTCCAATTGCTTGGTTAACTTTCCACCAAATATTTCATGGTTTTCCCAGCACAATTTTTTAGAAATCTTGCAAATTTCGCAAAAATTCGCAACGGTAAATTTTCGGAATAGGCGAAATAAATTTGCTCAGGTTGACGTGAGTACGCCCAATAATACATGAATAAATATTTTTTCAGAGTGTGCAAATAGTCATAAACAACTTCGAACCCTGGGCCCATCCCATTCACCTACACGGCCACCACTTTTGGGTCGTCGCCAAAGGTTCCGGCGTCTTCATAGCGAACATTTCCACCATTTCGGAAACCACGGTGAAACGCGATACTGTAATGCTGGACAAGAACTCGTATGTCGTGCTCCGTTTCGTGGCTGACAATCCGGGCGTGTGGCCGCTCCATTGTCACATCGATTGGCACAATACGGGCGGCATGAGCATGACCCTTGTCGAAGGGAGGGATGACCTCGTCGGAATAGAGATTCCTGAGCAGATCCAGAAAATGTGCGCAGACTGGAAAGAAAATTTATCTTATTCGGAAAATGATTGAAATTCATATATATTTCGAGCAATTTATATATCACCGAAGTGGTAATAAATGCATAGGTAAGTAATAATTACCTCTAAATTGTAATCAGTCATTAGAAATTGATTCCAGTATTAGAAGAAATTGGGGTTACATTGTTATTGGTATGCATGAGAAAATATGTCATAATAATAAATATTTAATAGTATTTGAACTCGTTTTTAAGTGTTTTGCCAAATTATTTATGCGAAGATATGGTAAACTAAATACCTAAGTTTAACCTAAGTTTACCATATCTTCGATATCAGTAATAAAGGTTACTAAAGTTTATAATTGATGGTTTAATGTTAAAGGTGCATTTTGTGCTATTTTGTGAGATCAAATGCGACAACAAAATGCATATTCACCAACTATGCATACAGGTGTATATGTTAACCAGTGTTTCTTTTTGTGACAACAATAATATTTTATGCTCGCACAGTAATAATGAAAATGCATAAAAACGCATCAAATGCACAAAAATGCATAAAAACGAATGAACCAGTCGAATCAGAATTATGGACTGGTCGGTGAAGTTAAGTGTCAAGCTATTTTAGCCTACAAAAAATGAATGCATGCATCTAATCTAACGAAACATTTGTGGAATGTTAACGATGACCAGACCGAAGTTTTTCAGTCCTTCAGTTGCCCAAACACCCCTTTCTTACTGGTGGAGAGAAGACTTTGTCGAGGACCTCTCATAAGCGCTTTGCCACTCGTTTCACCAACTCCTATGATGGTTTTCTCTATAACGCGCAGAAATTTTTTGAAATTTCTTTGTATCAATTTTTCTAGGTATATTGTTTCTCAATTAATGCCCAAAATCTTTCAATGGGTCGACACTGAGGTAAGTTTGGAACGTTGTCCCTTTTCTTGAAGAAATCAGCTTTTTTCCCTCCATGGTACCCGGTCACTATTTTGGTATTCTAGGACGTAGTCATGTCAGACCAGAATAAAACGTGTTTATTTTTGATAGAGGGGGTCAATCTTTTGATGATGCACTCTTTCAAATAAAGTTCAAAGTTCATATTCATCGTAGATACGAATGGCTTTGAGACGTTCCCATTTTTGTAGATTTCCGGCCATTTTATGTGTCTCATTGGAAATTTTGCTTGACTTTGGATTTATAATTCGACCGAGTGTCATTTTTATTTCTACGTGAGTAGAACTTCACGCGATTGACGCTTAGAGGTCAACGGGGCAGTAGTTTTCAGCATCCATGACGTCAAACTTCTGGGAGTCGATTTTAACATTTTCTCGACAAGTTTTCTACAAATTGTTTTAGCTCCGGCTTTTTTATCTGCATTGTCTTTTGGCGCGGTTCTAGTGTTGCAAGTTTTGAAGCCCATCTTATTGGCTTTGATCTTGCTAAGATCGGTTTTTGAAATTTTTAGTTGTCTGGGTGCAGCCCTCACGGATCTGTTGGGGTTGCCTCCAATAGATTTTTTCACGTTTCGCGTCAGTATATTGGTCTCCTAGCGGACAGGTTGACAATGCCAAATTTTACATTTTGCATTTTTACGATCCTTATATCTGTATATTGTATGGTGAATTTTGTCCGGTGCATCCCTGGAAAACTGGGGTAGTCACGAGCCTTTTCCCGATCCGAGAAAATCACTTTTTTGCACGAGTGGCAAACTAATTTTTCCACCTGCTCTACATTTTGTGCTGTCATTTTCTAACGAAAAGAGATAATCAAATTCTGTTTTCGGTTTTCCAAAGCTTATCCAATTTACCAATTTTTATGATTTTTTCATATACAAAATTAACTGCTAACTGGTTGAACCAATAGGGGGAACCCTGACACTTAACTTCGGAAGTAATTTAATGTCTCTCCAAAACAATGGGAATCACCCTCCAAATATTTAAGAAGTTACCTAAGTGGTAAGCAACCTCTTAATGCTCAAAATTTTCCCTCCTGTTAAATGGAAGGAGCTTCTCATTTTGCATATCGTAATTCTATGTAAATTTCTTAACGGTGATGGGTCTTATTATATTTTTGACTCAATAACTTTGGAAGCTTCAGTCCTGACTCTAAGTTTGATAGCATATTCTCCTCTTCTGCTTCGTTGCAATTAAAAAATCGCTAACATTACTAGAAAATTAAATTTTGATAACGTATATAAATATGCGTAATTATATTTTGATAAAATTAAATTTACCTAAATTTAATAAGTAAGGTCACCTTCTACGGTCACTGCACTGTTAGAAATCCGGTATAGTCATGCAGGTATTGATTTCTAGGTATTAAAGTTGCTTGGTATTAAAATTATACCGGTCCGTAAAAATTTGATACCGATATTGTAAACTTTAATACCGGGTTATTACTAAACGGTATTAATTATCAATACCACGTTGGTAGAGTCTTATACGAATACCACCTGGTATTATTTTAATACTGGATTTCTAAGAGTGTGGTTGCACTTTGCTCACTTTTCACTTCATACTCATTTCTGAGAAGCGATAAAAAATTTAAGATTACAAATTCGGCATTATCACGTACCGAATTTCACATTTTTAAGGTGATTTCTGAAAATCGTAACCCTTTAGTTCGATTTTACTGCACTGTTTGGAATGGTCGACATGCACGAGTGCCAGTTTTTTTTAAGAACTGGTACTGTATATTTGTAAAGATGTACTTCGGAAACTTAAAAACAATCTTTTATGTTGTCCTGAAGCCAAAACTGTACCACTTTGTATTGAGAGAAAGCGTGGGTGGAGGACCTTTTAAGTCCACAAAAGCCTTGATTGCCATGTAGTTTTTAAAAATGTTTGTTTTTATGGAAGCGTTAACTCTAATTGTAAATTTATGATACGCTTTTTACATAAAATTCCAAAATTATACGTTGCAGATACGTCTATTATTTTAAGAGGTAGTTTGCCACCAAAATCCTAATTCAAAAATAACATTAGGAGGTAGGGTTCAATGGTGGGTACTTCTGAAATATTGGGAGGGTACTTCCCATTTTTTTGGAGAGGCATTAAATGCATGCCCTTAACTTCACCGACCAGTCCATAGCACCAGTCGATAATAAAATTATTTCCATCTATACTGTAACTTATTACAACGTAATTAATCTTCACTGAGAAGTATAAGGTTATACATACGTAGATAAATGTTTGCGAAAACAAATTACTACTCCAACTTTTTTTTGCGTACAATCAGCGGCGTAGCCAAGGGGGGGCCAGGGGGGCTTGAGCCCCCCAGAGCCCGAGAAATAAAAAAAAATACTTAAAAAATTGCAAAAAAATTGCAAAAAATTAAAAAATCAAAAAGTAAGTTGCGTATGAAGTTATATGCTACACATTAGGGGAATTCGTTATTACTTCGTAGCCTTAGTATTTTTGTATCTAAAAATCAGTTACGACAGCTAATAGATTTTGTAAACGTCGTAAAGCTGTACTAAAAAATCATGCTACTATGTATGTAAACACCAAATGGGTTTCTCCCATTTTAATCGGACGAATTTTAAATTGTTGCCGGACAGAAATTAAAACATCCACAGTTTTGTATTTTTGTAGATACACGTATTTGCCCTTGTAGCGTAATCCTTAACAAAATCAGAATCATTCAAAATTTTATAACTTTTTCAATTTTAAACTGATTTCAGAAATTAAAGAACATTAATAAACAAAATTACGTTTCAAAAATTTGTAATGTTAAATACAATGATATTTTATGCATTTTTCAAACTTCGAAAGCACCAATTCGAAAGCACAAATGCAAATTTCAAAATTTAAAGTTTATAATAAACTATTTTTTAGTTCTTTAATGTCTGTAATCGGGTTCAAATTGGAAAAGTTATAGCGTGTTGAAAAATCCTGGTTTTGGTTAAAAATTCTGGCAAACGGAAAACTACGCGCATTCAAGAAAATTCAAAAACATTGTCCCACTTGTTTCTGCGCACTAACTGTTTAAATTTTTTCTGGTCGCAATCGAAGAAAACCACTTGAGGTCTCCGCATTGGAATCTCGCCGTTTAATACGTCGTTTAATTTTTCAGTCAAATGTTTGAGACTTTTTTTAGTCAACTGTATTGTAAGCTTCGCCGCCAAGCTTTTTATTAGAGATATTTAAAGGATATAAATTTCATCCGGTAATATTTTTCACTGCAAAGAAAATGTTTCTTTTTCGAAACTATAGGTGTTACAAAACTATTTTTTAAAGAAAGGTCCAGGCATTATTCACGTGATAAAATTCTCACTTTTTCAAAGCCTTGACGCAAATGGAACACGGCTGTTAATATTTTATAGGGGACTTGATTGTTTTCGATTAGGTTGTAAGTTCTGCTGCCATAAAATGCAGATTATTCCCAGATAACAATTCGAGATTTCGCTGTGGATTCCCTAGCGAATTCGCAGCGAAATGTCCGCCGATCCGCTAGCGAATTCGTGGAGAAATCGTGGAGCCGCTACGACTTCGCTACGAATTCTTGGAGTCGAGTACGCTTCGAATTCGCCAGCGAATCGGCGGACATTTCGCTGCGAATTCGATAGGGAATTCACAGCGAAATCTCAAATTTTTATCTGGGTTGGGCGCTAGTTTTCATCAGAATGGGCTACTTCGATATGATTTTCATTTAGCCCGATTTATGTTGTTATCTCCCTTGCATAATTTGGAAAAGAAGAAGTTATCTTGAAATTTGAAAATAGTCATTCTTTTTCTGGTAGGTGCGACTATTTTGGATTAGAGGTAAACCAAATGCTCAGTTGAACCGAGCTCGGCTCGGTTCGACTGAGCTTGAGCGAGCCGAAATTTTTCTGAACAGATCTTTAGCAAGACGAGCTTTTTGAGCATTGTGTGAGTCGAACTTTTTTCGAGAGTTTTGCGAACTGTCCGAAAAACCGGACGATCCGGACGATTTTGGAAAGCGCTGCTCGATTTACCTCTATTTTAAATTGTTCAGGTCATTTTACATCCTTGGAGGATTTGTTATTAACCTAACCGAACAAACCTAACCTAACCTAACAAAATTGCTACGAAATCTTTTCGGCACATCCGAATTTTCTACGATTTTAATTTTTGATTAGAATGTCCTGCTTCTAAGACCTGCATTTCAAACCTATGGTGCTTTTAATTAGAATTTACCTAGTAGGGCCAATTGTTATGACCAATACATATTTAAATTCACATAGCGATCCTAGGTTATGGAATTTAAAAAAAATAACGATATCA